TTAAGTACAAAAAGTACAAATATTATAATTCCCTGCGCCGCATTGCAAAAGTCCGGTACATAAAAAAATATGGACCAAGTGTTGTCAGAGCCTACCAAATACGACATAACTTCCAGCATCCAAGTAATTCCCATCACAATAAATAAACGTAGGAATAAACCAAAACTGAAAAAAATTTATGTTTTAAAAAAACAAGACCATTTTAATAAATATGTAAATGGTACAATAGTAAATATGTAATAACAAAAATTGAGAAAAGATTAAACTCTAATATTTTAATTTGAATAATATTTAAATTTTGAACATGTACAGTTTATGTAGTGAAGAAGACTTGCATTCGAAACCTCATGTTGTAAAATTAATTTACTGTTTTATATTTAAATACATATATTCTTAACGAAACAAGAATATTTACTTAAGTAATTAAATTATATATTACAGATAAAAAGTTGCCTAGCATATATTTTCATATTAAAAAAAAATACAATTTAAACACTTCTCATATTTAAATGTTACTCTCTAACATAATAAATTTAGATGGCTAACATATAAAATCTCAAATTGATACTCGCAGCAAAGGGTTAAAATTTAAGGCTTCAAGGGAGACCTATTACAAAAACAATAAAGTCCAAGTTCTATTAGATTAGTTTAAAAAAAAAATACTTCAAGTGGTTTGTTTTGGATTAAATTTTTTAAATATTATTTAAAAAACACTATCTCAATCATTTAAAAATATTTCTAAAAAATAATGTAACAAAGAATAGATTAAACTATCAGTATTTTGATTTGCGTAATATTTTAAAATTAAGTTTCTCATTTGAATTAGAATAATCGCGGACTGACTTTTGCTTTACATCTTTTAAGAGATGAATAACTTAGAAAAATAGTATGAATTAATCTGTAGGAAGTATAAACGTAAAAACATTTCTAATATTTAAAATACATTTAAAATCAAGTTAGTTATTATTGACTAGAATATACATTTCACAAATATTGTAGTATATATATCGAGTATATATTGAACAGTAATGGTGACAGAATGCACCCTTGGCGAACCCCGCGCTTTATTTTTACTTCTTGCGTGAAGAAATTATCAATTGAAACATTTGCGTACTGTTTCCAATATAAGTTTGCGATTATTCGGATATCCTTTTCATCTAATCAGCAATGCTTCAGAATTTCTATGAGTTTGCCGTATTCGACTTTGTCGAAAGCTTTTTCAAAATCAATAACATAAAAAGACATCTCTGTTAAAGTCACGACAACGTTCTTGAATCCAATAGTTTGGTATCTGGCCAGTATTATAAATTTTATTAAAAAATCTTGTTAAATATGTACGCCATTATCTTTAAATAACTTCACCAATTCTCTTGGTATTTGGTCAAAACCTACCGTTTTTCTTATTTTTGCACCATCAATTGCTTTTTGAACTTTATCTAAGGTTATATGTGGACCTGAAACAGCTCTTCGATCGGTAGTACACGGTTGATCGGTTGTTCGTAAATAGATTTTGAATATAGTTTTTTCACATGCGAGGTGTTTCGCCTTTTTCTGTTATGTATTTACTTTGTTATTCATAAGTGGCCTTCTCTTTCTTCTATTACATTCGCATATTTCTAATTTTCTTGATAGTTAAATACATCGTCTCTTTGTACCCCTCTATCTCCTCAATTCCTTTTTGAAACTCTCCTTTTGCTTTTCTAATAAGAACACGTATACTTATATTTGCGAGTATCTTTATTTTTATACTGACTTCTTTCGTCCATTAATGCCAGGATTTCATCTCTCATTCAATTTCTTTCCTTCTAGATCTGACCACGCCCACTTCATTATTTGCTACTTCCATTATTGTGTTTTTATTTGTCATAGATATTTCTTCAATCGGGTTGTAAACTTAATAACCTCATTTCAATTTCATATTCAACTCGCATCCTCAAATCTGGGCTTTTTAATTTTTTACATTGAGTTTACTCCTCGGTTGAGCTGAGCTTGTCGCTTTGAATTTAATGTTGATTTTAACAGCTAGCAAGTTGTGATCAGATGGAACATCCGCACCGAGGAAGGTTTTTGCGAATTTTATTGAGTTCTTATATCTTTCACTTATTGTTATAAAGTCGATTTGGTTACGGATGACCCTGTTTGATGTATCGGCTGGTGACTTCCAGGTATAAAGTCTACGTTTTGGCAGTTTAAAGAATGTATTGGAAATAATTAACTTATTACTTCTGCAGAATCCAGTAAACGATCACCTCTTTCATTTCTTTCGCCTAGGTCAAATTTGCCAACAATTGCATCGTCCGTACCTTAGCCTATCTTGGCATTAAAGTCACCAATAACCATCAGAACATCTCTTAACATTAATAACATTACTATGCGTTATTAAAATGTAGGGAAAATGTCAGTAAACTTATGCTGTGATTCTAATAGTATAATAAAAATCAGTGAACTCCATTATGACACCAAAAACCATTCGAATTTTGGACAAATCATAATATGTTATCAGTTTTTAAATTACTAGCTAATACAAAAAAAAATTTTAAACTTTTAATTTGATTTAATGTCTTAAACGCAACAGTCAGAAAATCGACCAAAATTACATTCAGTTAAATAAAAACTTTATTTAACTGACTATGTGACCATATGTATGTACTAAAATGTATAGCACCACTTTTACCACTCAACAAAAGTGTAAATAATTTTCATTTGATTTCTTACTGCAGTTTCAAATATTTCTACATTTTTTAAAATCACCCTGACTTAATATAATTAATGTCCACTTTAAATTAATTTCCTTAAGGAACATACTTTTCTTTCTCTGACCGCAAACACCTCTGATCATTTTCACGAGCCACAATACGCTCCAAGTCCCTTTTAACTTGATAAATTTTTGTAGCAGTCAGTATAAACATAATCACATTAAATAAAATTAGTAACATTATCGGCCCATAGAAATATATCATAGCTGACCAATCATCGGCTATAAATACAAAAAAAAAAGATATATGTAACATATATAATAATTTACTTAATTTTACTTACTTTTAAGCCAACAATATTCGTCGCCAATTCCGGGTTTAATATGATTATCGATACTTGATAGTTGACCCTGTATGGTTGCGAAAGTGAGAATCCCAGCAATTCCCCATGCATAGAGAGAATAAATAACAAAACGTTTGTTTTGCATATAACGGTTAACATTGCAACTGGTGCCTCGGAAATTATGCCAGAGATCAAAACTTATCACACTTAACCATAAAAATGCCGCGATAAAAAAGAAATAAGCCATGAATCCTGTTAATTAATATTGTAATTATATTAAAAGTTTATTTATATATAGAATATATTTGTATTAGCTTTTATATTAAGCAATGATAATTGATTTTCTCACCTACAAAACTGCAAGTGAAATCATTATATTGTTTGCTGAAATAGTTATTGGTTACCAGGACACTATAACCAACCGTTAAAGAAAATAAGTAGCAAATAAGGCATTTTCCATGCAAATTCCTCAATTTCGGTATGAAGACATACACAAAGATTGTCAACACCAAAAAGGGTATAGATATTAACATTGCTGTAATTAATAAGAATAAGTATTTTTTTTTTTAATATATGAGTACCAATAGTAAAGCCTTAAGAGGTTATTAGTTTCAAATTCATTTATATATACCAAGATTGTTAGCGAAGTGATTATTTGACTGCTCTTCATAGTTTGGACAATTCATTGGAGTAAGCAAATATACACCACTTACTTCATGTGGTGTTAAGCAATAATCACGTTTTGTCATTAAGGCATTGTCAAACAAACGCATCAATGTGCCATTCTTTTTTAAAATTATAAATTGTTTTATACCATTTATTAAATATTATATATTTTTTACCTCGAAGAGTTTCCATTCATCGTCCTCCTCGCTATCTGGTGTCAACTTGTAAGCGTCATAACAGGGTATTCCATGCTGAACATAAAATTCCTCTAATACATGTATGCTCTGCTCCGTACCATTGCTGAAAGTTATATTCACGTAAGGTGACAGTTCAAGTTCTGTTTTAGCATCAATTTCACATTCTCTTAAGTTTTCTTTTTTAATTTGTTTTGGGCGACAACACAATTTAACGCAAGGTTTTAGTTTACAGATACAACCGCGTACATGTTTCCCCACAGTCAATTCAAGACCGTCATAGAGCACCTCATAATCATATTCGCCGATGAGTTTAGGTGGTATTATCACACCATCATGCAAATAGGAACCGTTGTCGTAGCGTAAACTACCAGTTATATTGACAGTATCGTGGAACTCACAATTTGGTATTCGTGCTAAAGTCAATGGCAAAAAAAAGATTAGATATGCGCAACCTAAAAGTAGAAGTCTATTTATGTGGACTGGAGTTCGCTGCATTTTAAACATTTTTGGAGTGCTGTAATGAAATTTGTAATAAATTTCGTTAATTTGCAACAATTGTTAGCTAATAAGCAATATTGTTAATGTATATAGTGTAACATATTATTAATTAGCATATTTAAAAAATTTTTAATTTTTACACGTTAGATATTATATAGTTTATATACACATAATTAGATAAAAAGGACGTGTAACATATACAAATTGATTGACAGTGTTGTCAAGTAAAAATATCTATCTAAAGCATTCAACGTCTTTGATGGATACCGTCAATGTGACAATCTTTTCTGCCTCCTCTTCAGCGTAAAGTTGGAGAAAGCAATCTGAAACTCTGGTAGCTTAATAAGAAGTACTATGGTCATCAAGTTCAGGCAGGTATTGATATATGCAATGTTGTTATCGATTTATCTTATGATAATAACAATAATCTGTTCATTTGTCTATCTGTCTATAAATCTATTTACTTTTCAGAGAATTAAATTGCCAGTTAATACATAAATAGGTTTTAAACTAAGCAAATGAGAATTTACATAGATGATTTTATAAAGTCAGATAGATAAAATCAATTGATAGTTGGTTCTGTTGAATTTAGCACCCATACAAAACGACTGTATTTTTAATGTTTATTTATTTTATAAATATTGGATAAATAACTTAGTTTTTTAGAGATGGTGTAAGTTAGGTACTGCATATTAGTACTGCAAAATAATTCAAATATATGTATACGAATATATGACGATTTTCCTATGCACCATGAATAGATAGAGTTCCTTTGCCTAGACCACAGAATAGTTCTGGGCCTATAATTCTTGAGGCTGCGCCTCTTCTTGCAAGTTTGTCTGCCATTTCATTGCCTTAGATACCGGCATGTCCCGAAAGCCATATTAGGTGCACCTGATTGTTCCAGCTAAGTATGTTCAGCTTGTAATATTATATAATATATTTTTTTTAACACTGTTCTTGCTAACATATATTACTACATATATTAATATTAAATTAGAGGGATTTTGAATAGCAAAGAAAGAAATAAAGAACAAACACAAAAATTTATTATAATTTTATTGAAGTTTGGCTGACCAGACAACGCTGTTTCGAATATTGCCAAGTACTCTTCATCAGTGGTCTTTGGAATAATCGAATTTTTATTTAATTAGTTTATAGTCCGTATATAATTTGTTTGGACTGAAAGTGCCAGGCTTAGAACTCGTGCCTGTGAAATTAGAAGCGTTGACTAATCGTGTTTATCCACAAGAAGCCAAGGCTGCAAAAACTTTCAATGCTCAAGTTCCTGGTTTTATTGTCACTTATTTTTTATTTAATTAGTGACACCAACCAAAGCACTTGCCGTGCTTTAAATTAGAACGAGCTTATAAACTACAGCTTTATTTTGGAAACACAAGTTCAACGAATTGAAAGTTAACTTTTGGGTTCGCCTATTGTTTATTTTTTCAAAGCCACTCTTTTTGTAGAGACATTTTGTAATGCATATTGTTTTACTTACTATATGTAAAGCGACCATTCTGGTGCTTTTTACAAAGAAGCTATGCTATGTTATTCTACATATCCGCTTTCGCGTTTAGGAAAAGCTGAACAATAACTTTCTTGATATGAAGTTTCTTTTAAAGCGATCCAACCATCTTTAGGGCCATGTTATGTAGAGTATCATGAGAAAAATTGTTGTAGTTTTATATGCAAATTATAAAATGGAGACTAAGAAAAAAAAACAATATGTCTGTTCAAATTTGGTCATGAGAGCCGAGGCTACCTGTGCCTTGTCACTTAGGCAAAGCACTGTTGTTTAATAATAAATGTCAACATTTGTATCTTTAAGAAACAAATTACATATTACAATTTCTATGACGCTCTGCAGAACATGAATTTTTGTCATGATGGCCAAAAGAAACCAATTTTGATGAGCCCATGACACTACATGGCGTGTTATGCCGTATACTCTTGCATATAACAGTGGTCAATCCCCGCAAACTTCATTGGTAAACGAAAATTGATTATAATTTGGAAGTGTTTATTATTTTTTTATATTAAAAATTCAAGCATAGAGCAATACTCGTTTTTCTCCATATTTACAAACACTTAAAGTCGGACGATGAAAAAAATTAATAAAAAGTAATTTTAACAGTAAAAGCAATTACTACCTTTAGTACAATTCGGGCGAAAAACAGGGTGTATTCCAATACCTTGTGTATACCTTAAGTATATATTTTTATATATCTGTTTTAATATTTTTGTTTTAAATAATGGACGTCAAATTTATTATACAAAACGTTAAGTAGCCAATTTGCATTCCAAAGTGTTTACTACCGCAAATTCAATTTTGTATATGGAAAATTATCAAATAAAATGTATATGGAAATAATAATAAGAAATGCTGTTTGAAAATAAATTAAAAAAAAATTCTTTTCAAAAAAAATTAAATTATAGTCAGTTAACTTTAAACGCCCATATTAATTCATATCAAATTAATGAAACTAAACATTAGTAATGGTTATATATATGAGTTTTCTTCCAAAGCATGTTTTGTATACACTTAACGCCTTTATAAGATAGCAAGATAAGATATCAGTAGAAAAATACTTCATATTCATGATAAGGACTTATAATTCACTTTTAATTTAAATAACTACAAATGTATGCACATATTTACTTTAATGAATGGGAGATTGAGGAACAATGCATGTCTTATTTATTTTTTATTACATATGTTATCTTATAGATACATAAAAAATTCTGTAATTAACACCGTACATTACTCATAGTATTGAATATGACGTTATTTCCTTTTAAATTTATAAATACAAATCAGCCCGCAATTATTTGCTCGCATATCAAAAAGTTTAAATAAAATAATAAAATTAATTACTCGTACGTTCGTTTAATATTTCTGCACAACTGGCAGAACAAAGTACTTTGGAATACAAACTACAGACTGCAGTCGCATTAAAAATATGTAATTATAATACTGAAATGCGAACAGCGGGTGCCATTGAACTTTAAGTACTGCAATAAACTTTCTCAATAACACATTTTTCGAATTCTACAATAAGAATGGTTTTTATTTTCAGTTTTTGTTTTAATTTTAATTACAATTATTGCTT